TTCTAACCACGATCCCGACGTCGTCTGACCTCTGATCGTCGTTTTGAAAACACCATCGTGTTCATCATCGAGTGAGAAACAAACCCCTTAAATTAATTGAAGTGAAACCCTACCAAACGCCGGGAATATTAAGTCAAAGTCTCAACATTTTTTTAGCAAAATCGCTGAGAAAATCTTAAATTCATCGTCGATCGTTGCTCCGTTTACGACACCTCTCGCACCATCGTGTTCCTTGTACCGTTCCGAGCCCGACAATGTCATCCTTGATTTCCATAGACGGTGGCGCGTAGGGAGGTGAAGCGGTCAAAGTTTCTGATTTGTTGAAATCGAGCTCTCCGCCGTTCAAAAATTTGAACCGAGCTTTGTAAGTATCTCGAAATCACTCAAAATAATTTTTAGAAATTTTTCCGTGAATTATAGGACACCGTAGGACGTCACACGCGCCCCCACTGCGCGTGGAGAAGCTTCGACAGCAGCTTGAAACCGCTTTGATCGATCTGAACCGGTCTGAACCGACTCGACTCGTTGACCCGACCTATTGACCCGACCCGTTGACTGTTGACCTCCTTTGACTAGAACTTTGACCAGCTTTGACCGGGCATTAAATGACCTTTGATTTTGACCGAGTATACCTATCATGACATTTTTCGACGTTCCAAATCCGAATCCGAAGTCCGTTTCACCAAATTCGAACCCGAAAGTCTCCAAATTGTCAGTCAAACCCTTTGACTTTAACTTTTACCAAGAATTTAAATATCCAGAAGGTCATACTTTATGTTTTTTGACGTCCTGAATCTGATTTCGAAGTCCGTTTTGCCAAATTATGACCCGAAATTCCCAAATCGAGCACGTGAACCCAAAAAGGCTTAGTATTTTAGTATTTTGATTATTTATTTGAGTTTTGGTTAAGGAATTGATTCAGTACAAATATTTTATGAAGGTACTTGTGTTTCACCTGAGCGATGATCAGTTAGGTCTGGAGATGTTCGTTCGTTAGATCAGCCTGAACCGCGTACTACGAGAATTACCCGTAGGTTTCCGTAAATTATTTAAATAATATTTAGATTATTTATATTAGGATTCCAATATGGATTTTTTTTCAATTCGTAGGATCTAGCGCTGCAGCAGAGCGTGATCGAGAAAACCAGTAATAGGCTTCCCTATCTGATTTCTCAGACTGTTACAGGTGTGTTTCCTGATAGTGTTATATTATTGTTTTAAAGTATATAAATATCTGAATATTGTGTATCTGATTTCTGATTTACTGTATATTTCTGATATGATTTCTGGTTACGGTATTTTATACCGTTTTCTGAATATTTATTACCCAACATCTAAATTACCATACATTACTGATTTGATTTTTGATTTCTGTATTTCTGTTTATGGTTTTCAAGCTTGAAACATTCTTATGTTTTTAAAGAATTATTCATTGTTTTACGCGAATACATTCATGTTAATTACAATCATTGGGGGAATATTATTGGAGGAAGATTATCTGCAGGCTCCTCGGCTGTGTGCTCAGAGCCTTACTGGTTGTGCGGGGTGTATGGTTCTGGGGAACCTACACAAACAGATTGTGAAATGATGGGGGTAGTGTTCATGTTTTCAAAACATGTTGCATAAACAAATTTTATTAAAATATTTTGTTAATATGTTTTTATACACTGTATGGAGCACACTGGGCTTTTTAGCTCATTATGTAGTTTTTACCTTTTTCAGATAACAGCAGACCGTAAACTAGCAGATTTGGCATCAGGAGAGATCAACTACTTATTTTGTACGAACATATATCTCTATATGTTTTTCGGTTATATTTGGTGATATGTATTTGCTATCGTTTTGGATATATCTGTATTATTAATATTTTGTTCTATATTATATTTAATGTTCTATAAGTTGTTAAAAAAACCTATGAATGGGATATGTGACCACTTAGGTTTGGGTTTAACTTATAGATCGGGTCTGGGGAGGTTACATTTGATGGTATCAGAGCTTTCAGTTTTAAACACTCGAACTGTATATGTGTCCTAAATTTTGGATTTTTAAGAAATAAAAAAAATGTCACCTTATATGATTTAAAATTTTCTCGAGATCCATGATGCTAACCTGACATATATTTCAAATTCTTTCTGTAGAGCCTTATAGATCCAACGATGAGTGCTGCTAGAGGTCGTAGGACAGGACGTGGTTGTGGTCGAGGGCGAGTTACTCGACCTTCTGTTACGATTGACGATCCGATGTCTCCACGTGATCCTCCTGTTCCGCAAGTAGATCCGACCATTTCTCATGATGATCAGTTTACTCATGTGAGAGACCCTCCCATCACTGGAGATGAGGATACGGACGTGAATGAAGACGTCATTAATAGAGCTTTCAAATTCTTTGGTCGCTGCTGGTGTAGTTCCATTCGAGGGTATTACTGGTGGACCCCCGAAAGACGCTGAGTATTGGCTGGAGGACACAGAGAGGATTATGGATGAGATGGACCTCGGACATGAGCAGAAGTTGAAGGGGAGCTTAACTATGTTGAAGAAATAGAGCTTTAGATGGTGGCAATCAATTTTTGGTAGTATTCTGAGAAACTAGTTAACATGGGATCTTTTTAAGACTCGCTTCCGGAGTCGCTACATCGGAGAGAGATACTTGTAGGAGTGACGTCAAGAGTTTCAGAATCTGGAGCAGGGTAATATGTCTGTTATGGACTACGAGGTTGAGTTCATCCGATTGAGCCGTTATGCTCCTAGACTTGTTGACACAAAGACAGATAAATGCTTAAGATTCAAAAATGGACTCCGGTATGAGATCAGGAGTCGAGTCGCTACCCACTGGGAGAGGAATTTTGATGCATTGGTTGAGATAGCCAAGACTGCTGAGGAAATAGAGCGATTGGGTATGGAGCACAAGAGAGATAGTGATTGAGCCCAAAATCGATTCAGGAGGCCTTCTGGTTCTGTTGATTCTTCTACACACCCTAGCAAGAGAGGCAGGGGTGAGTCATTTCGGAGAGGCGGTGCGAGTGTCAGACCTGTTGCATCTGGTTCTTCAACTTTTCAGCCTTCTAGACATGGTGGATCTTCTGGGTTGCAATCTTTACAGTCATGTAATTATTATGGGGAACCTCATTATGGGGAATGCAGGAAAAAATTGGGTACATGTTTTAGATATGGTTCAGGTGACCATATTGTAAAGGATTACCCAAAGTTAACTCATTCAGTTCGTACTCCCGCTCGTACTCCCGCTCGTACTCAGAGTACTGTTCAGACTCTTGCGGGTGGTCGTACTCATGAGAGATCATTCGGATCGGCTAGTAGAGGTTGTGTATCTCAAAATAGGGGTCCAGTCAGATCTGAGGCCAGACAACCTGCATTGGTTTACACTGCTAGACTTCGACAGGATCGCGGTGGGCCTAATGTGATTTCAGGTACTGTTACTATTCATTCAGTTCCCTACTTTGCATTGTTTGATAGTGGTTCTACATTTCTATAAATCGTATTCCGCTTCTGAGGGTCTAAATTTTCCTGTTGAGAATACTGAGCATTCGGTGATAGTTCAAAGTCCCTTAGGCAAGTCCATTGTGTTGGATCGTATTTATAGAGAGTGCCCTATTGAGATCAATGGAGAGATTTTTCTGGCTGACCTAATGGAGTTTTCTTTGGAAGAGTTTGATTTGATTCTCGGCGTAGATTGGTTGGACAAATATCGAGTAAATATTGATTTTGAGACTAAGAGAGCTATTCTGAAGACCCCAGATAATCGAAAGATTATAATGATCGGGGAACTCAATGGATTTCTGACGAATGTTGTATCTGCTTTGGTAGCTGAGAAGATGATCAAGAAAGGTTCCGAGGCATTTCTTGCTTATATAGTGGATACTAGGAGTTCTCAGTATGATATTGAAGGTATCCGGATTGTCAAGGAATTTCCCGATGTTTTTCCCGAGGAGTTGCCTGGATTACCGTCAGATAGAGAGGTTGAGTTTGAAATTGAAGTATATTCTGATTCTACTCCGGTTTCAATGGCTCCTTATCATATGGCCCCAAAGGAGCTTAAGGAAATGAAAGTTCAACTCCAAGAGTTGTTGGACAGGGGATTTATCCGACACAGTGTATCACCGTGGGGAGCCCCAGTTCTCTTTGTCAAGAAGAAAGATGGAACATTGAGACTCTGTATTGATTATAGGAAGCTGAACAAGCTCACAGTTAAAAACAAATATCCTCTGCCCAGGATCGATGATCTATTTGACCAATTTCGAGGGGCTTCTATCTTTTCAAAAATAGACTTGAGGTCTGGTTATTATTAACTCAAAGTGAAAGACTCGGATATTCCGAACACTACTTTCCGTACCCGGTATATGCATTATGAAATAGAATATTATCCAGGGAAGGCTAATGTAGTGGCAGACACCTTGAGTCGTAAGGCAATATCAGATCTCAGAGCCTTATTCGCCAACTTGAGTCTATTTGATGATAATAGTTTGTTAGCAGAGTTGCAGGTTAAACCTACTTTAGCCGATGAGATTAAGAACAAACAACTTTTGGATAGCTCATTGCTTCCCATTATTGAGCAAATTAAGCAAGGATCGAGTTCAGAGTATATTGTGGATCAAGATGGTATTTTGTGTTTTCACGGTCGTTACTGCATTCCTAAAGATGATGAGTTGAGACGGGTTATTCTTCAGGAGGCTCATAGTAGTTTATGCTATGCATCCTGGCGGGGACAAAATGTACAATAATCTCAAAGAGCGCTACTTTTGGACTGGTATGAAAAAGAATATTTCAGATTTTGTGGCGAGGTGTTTGACTTGTCAGCAGGTTAAGGCAGAACACCAGCATCCATCTAGATTGTTACAGTCAATTAAGAATCATGAGTGGAAATGGGAGCGCATTACGATGGATTTCGTTACTGGTCTTCCTCTGACTCCTTCTAAAAAGGATTCTATTTGGGTGATTGTTGACCGACTCACCAAGTCAGCGTACTTTATCCCTATCCGGATTAACTATTCTCTGGACAAACTGGCTAAGTTGTACATTTCGGAGATTGTTAAACTTCATGGTGTACCGTTTTCTATCATATCTGATCGAGATCCAAGGTTCACTTCCAGGTTATGGAAGGCTTTGCACGAGGCTCTGGGTACTCGTTTGAATTTCAGTACAGCTTTTCATCCTCAGACTGATAGACAGTCTGAGCGAGTTATTCAGGTGTTGGAGGATATGTTACGGGGTTGTGTGATTGATTTCTGTGGTAGTTGGGAAGATTTATTGCCGTTAGTTGAGTTTGCTTACAATAATAGTTATCAGGCGAGTATTCGCATGACACCATATGAGGCTCTGTATGGACGTAGATTCGTACTCCTATATGTTGGATAGAGTTGCATGATAGAAAAACTTTGGGTCCAGACTTGATTCGAGAGACTGAAGATACTGTCAGATTGATTCGTACTCGCTTAAAAGAGGCATTTGATAGACAGAAATCATACGCAGATAAGCGGCGTAAGGATATGGAGTTTGAGGTTGGAGATCAGGTTTTTCTCAAGGTATCCCCATGGAAGAAGGTATTGATATTTGGACGTAAGGGTAAACTAAGTCCGCGATTCATTGGGTCGTATTGTATTTTGAAGAAATTTGGACCTGTTGCTTATCAGCTTGAGTTGCCTCCCCAGCTCAGTCGTATTCATGATGTTTTTCATATGTCTATGTTGAGGCGATACTGTCCAGATCCGGATCACATCATTCAGGTTGACGAGGTAGAGCTGAGACCTGATTTTTCATATGAGGAGGACCCAATTCAGGTTTTAGAGAGAGATGAGCGAGTTATTCGGAATAGGCGTATTTTAATGGTCAAAGTTCAGTGGAGTAATCGTAGCCCATTAGAAGCTACTTGGGAGACATTGGAGTCAATGGAGGCTCAATTTCCTCATCTATTTTCATAAGGTAAATTTCGAGGATGAAATTTCTTGTAAAGGGGGAGAATTGTAACAACCTGGAAATTTGAAAATAATATTTAATTGAAATTTGAAGATTTAATTATGTAATTGGTGAAAATTGGGGACTAAATTGAAAGTTTTCAAAACTTATACGTTGTTGTAGAGTTTAAGAAAATTTAGGGACTAAGCCCTGAATTTACCCAAAAAAAAGTGTCGGCAGACACTCTATTAAATGGAGAATCAGATGTGTGTGGGGGGTGAATTATTAAGCAAATTTTTTTTTATAAGTTTTCTTCTTTTCAAGCCCCAACTTCTAACCACGATCACAACGTCGTCTGACCTCTGATCGTCGTTTTGAAAACACCATCGTGTTCATCATCGAGTGAAGAACAAACCCCTTAAATTAATTGAAGTGAAACGCTACCAAACGTCGGGAATTTCAAGTCAAAGTCTCAATGTTTTTTTAGTACAATCGCCGAGAAAATATTAAATTCATCGCCGATTGTTGCTCCGTTTACGACACCTCATGCACCATCGTGTTCCTTGTGTCGTTCCGAGTCCGACGGTGTCATCCTTGATCTCCGTAGACGACGGCGGGTGGGGAGGTGAAGCGGTCAAAGTTTTCGATTTGTTGAAATCGAGTTCTCCGCCCTTCAAAAATTTGAACCGAGCTTTGTAAGTATCTCGAAATCACTTAAAATAATTTTTAGAAATTTTTCTGTGAATTATAGGACACCGTAGGACGTCACACGCGCCGCCACTGCGCGTGGGGAAGCTTCAGCAGCAGCTTGAAACCAGTTTGATCGGTTTTTGACCGGTTTGACCGGTCAAAACCAGGTTGACCGGTCTGAACCGGGTTGACCGGTCCGAACCGACCTGACCCGTTGACCGTTGACCTCATTTGACCAGAACTTTGACCGACTTTGACCGGGCATTAAACGACCTTTGATTTGGACCGAGTATACCTATCCTGACATTTTTCGACGTTCCAAATCCGAATCCGAAGTCTGTTTCACCAAATTCGAACCCGAAGATCTCCAAATTATCACTCAAAAACTTTGACTTTGACTTTGATCAATAATTTAAATATCTGGAAGGTCATACTTTATGTTTTTTGACGTCCTGAATCTGATTCTGAAGTTCGTTTTGCCAAATTCAGACCCAAAATTCCCAAATCGAGCACGTGAACCCAAAAAGGCTTAGTATTTTAGTATTTTGATTATTTATTTGAATTTTGGTTAAGGAATTGATTCAGTAAAAATATTTTATGAAGGTACTCGTGTTTCACCTGAGCGAGGATCAGTTAAGTCTGGAGATGTTCGTTCATTAGATCAGCCTAAACCGCGTACTACGAGAATTACCCGTAGGTTTCCGTAAATTATTTAAATAATATTTAGATTATTTATATTAGGATTCCAATATGGATTTTTTTTTCAATTCGTAGGATCTAGCGCTGCAGCAGAGCGTGATCGACAAAACCAGTAATAGGCTTCCCTATCTGATTTCTCAGACTGTTACAGGTGTGTTTCCTGATAGTGTTATATTATTGTTTTAAAGTATATAAATATCTGAATACTGTGTATCTGATTTCTGTTTTACTGTATATTTCTGATAGGATTTCTGGTTACGGTATTTTATACCGTTTTCTGAATACTAATTACCCAACATCTGAATTACCATACATTACTAATTTGATTTTTGATTTCTGTATTTCTGTTTATGGTTTTCAAGCTTGAAATATTCTTATGTTTTTAAAGAATTATTCATTGTTTTACGTGAATACATTCATGTTAATTACTATCATTGGGGGAATATTATTGGAGGAATATTATCTGCAGGCTCCTCCACTGTGTGCTCACGGCCTTACTGGTTGTGCGGGGTGTATGGTTCTGGGGAACCTACACAAACAGATTGTGAAAGGACATGGGTAGTGTTCATGTTTTCAAAACATGTTGCATAAACAAATTTTATTAAAATATTTTGTTAATATGTTTTTATACACTGTATGGAGCACACTGAGCTTTTTAGCTCATTCTGTAGTTTTTACTTTTTTCAGATAGCAGCAGACCGTAAGCTAGCAGATTTGGCATCAGGAGAGATCAACTACTTATTTTGTGCGAACATATATCTCTATATGTTTTTCGGTTATATTTGGTGACATGTATTTGCTATCGTTTTGGATATATCTGTATTATTGATATTTTGTTCTATATTATATTTAATATTCTATAATTTGTTAAAAGCAAAACCTCTGAATAAGACATGTGACCACCTAGGTTTGGGTCTAACTTACAAACCAGGTCTGGGTGGGTTACAATTTGAGTTATAAAATAAGATTAATCAATTCGAATTACCCTAAATATTTTGAATCAACTCGACTTAATTCGATCCAATCTCACCCCTACATCCCTTAGGCTTTCAGTCCCTGCTATTTCATCGCTTTGCAGTTCGCTCCCATCGGCCAAAAAAACTAAACTGTAAATCTTCTTCAGAGACCAAATTTTAAACCCTACCAGATCGCTTGCTGCTCAATTCTTCACATAATTAGCTTTACCAAATGATTCCTAAAACCCCCTAAATGAATACGATGAAAAAGCATTTTCTTTGTCTCAGAAACGACAGCTTCAGTTTATATCCCCAAATTCACTTTCCCGGTAAGCAACTCTTAAATTTCCCATTTTTAACGATTTTCATGATTGTGTTACGAATATAAAAAGTGGGTTTTTTCCTGATGAAGTGATTCTTCAAATTCATGAGAGACTGCCTGCAAAGCCCCTTTTCAAATCAAAAACTGTTTGCAAACTTTGGTATAGATTAGTCCCTGATATATATTTCGCAAAAATCTATAATGATTTGTGTCCATAATTCGAGGGAAGTTTCATTGAATTTCTTGAAAGATAGGGTCAATGTTAGAGCTTCGTGTAATGGCTCGTTGTGTTGCTCGAAAATCCCCGATAAGAGTGTTTACTACGTTTTCTATCCATTGACTAGAGTGTCTAAGTTGCTCCCTAGGAGTAGGTATAGGCCGGTTACTCGGTTTTACCCCGACGGCGAAGCCACGCTTGTCCGTTTAGCATGCGATGTATCGAGGAACAAGTTCAATGTCGTGCTAGCGGGTATCATCGTACGTTTCGTCATAGACCTGATGGCACTTTCATATGTTTGTCTGTCACTTAACTATTTTCTTTTCTTCTATTTTGGTAACTAAACTCTAAAAGTTTTTAATTTCAAAAATCCTAGAGACTTTAGGGACTAAGGCTGTCGTTAACCCATTTTACCTAACTGTTCCCTCTCCTCACCTACTGAAACTAGAAAAAAAAATAGAACTTATTTTTCTTGTCTAAATTGCTCCACTAACCTAACCCGAAGCTCCATGCAGAACCTATCATTGAAAAAATCACAAGTTTGCTTGCATTTCTCTCTTTGTTTCCCTCACATATTCCTCTTTTTCTTGTCTAAATCATGGCCGGATCCTTTGTATTTAAGGTTGCAGAAAATGTCATTTCCAAACTATGCGAGCTTGCTCTTCAAGAAATTAGCCTCACTTGGGGCATTTGGGGGAACTTGAAAAGCTTGAAATCACGTTAACCACAATCAAAGTCGTGCTTTTAGATGCTGAAGAGAAACAGGCTCATCTACATGAACGCCGGGTTTGGCTACAAAGGCTGAGGGACGCCTGTTACGATACAGAAGATGTATTGGATGAATTTGAGATTGAAGCACTGAGGAAGCAAGTTCGGAAGAGTAGCATCCGATAGAAGGTAGGGTATTTCCTTTCAATTTCAAAACCACAGAGAAAGGGAAAGAGAAACGACATCCAAACCTTGTGGAAATCGGAAAAGAAATTGTCGAGAAATGCAATGGGGTTCCACTGCTACTAAAGACCTTGGGGACTGGGAAGTATGCTTTTCTCCAACACATCAGAGCGGGAGTGGGAACTTGTGAAAAATAGTGAGACTTGGAAACTAATGGAGAAAGATGATGAAATAGTTTATGTTCTGAAACTAAGTTATGATCAACTGTCTCCTCGGTTGAAGCAATGTTTTGCTTATTGCTCACTCTTTCTCAAATACTATGAATTTACTGAGTTTGGTTTAATCTCGTTTTGGATGGCTCACAAGATAAAAGAACTCCAACAGACCTTTCATGATCTTGCTGAGTTGAAATCGAGAGGTTTTACTTCGTTCACAAGTCACCTACGATGAGAGGGCGGCCAGTTCGAATCTAGAGAGTGGATCAACTACTTCCGTTCTGCGCTCGGGTAAGGCCAGGCGGAAACTCCTTGACTTTAGAAGGCGGCTTAGCTTTAGCTGCGGGTGCTTATAAAAAAAGTAGGGATGAAAGCCATTTCTGTACCATTCATTCGTAGAAGGGGCGGGGCATAGCTTCATTCTATAAGTTTGACTATAAGCGGGCTACCTGACAGGGGAAGACTCAAGGTAAAGGCATAGTGCCAAAGAATCTTACTGGATTGAGAGCAATAATGCAGTGGCGATGAGAAGGGGAGGAAAGAAGCTAGAAAAATGGGGGGAAAATGGTTTAACTACAGACTTAGTCCTTGAATCTCTAGGATTTTTGAAATTGAAAACTTTTAGAGTTTAGTGACCAAAATAGAAGAAAATAAAATAATTGAATGATGAATGATGTAATTTACC